GGGAGTGTAGTTTATTCAATACCCACCTCTTTCGTCATGATGGGTATAGTGGCTGCGTCCTGCCTAAGTGGCTGCTATGATTAGCCTGTAAAAGTCACGTTGTTTGTGTCTACAGTATATTATATGTTGTTGAAGAAAAGCCGTTTTGTTCCGCTTGCCCGAAGGTTTCCTCGCAATCGGCGAATTGCACGCTGCAAAACTCGCGTATTCCGTGGCCATTGTAAGAGCTTCTCAATCAAGCCCACCGCATCCAGCACCAGCACTGTTTCCCCAAGTGGGCCACAGGAGCTGGGGATTTTTGCTATTCATCACCTTGGTTTGGTGCTTAGGCAGGATCCCAGCCTCTACTAAAGTAGACTAGGTACTCACCATTTTTCCCCAATGGGGAAGCAAAAGCTTTTTCTTCCGACTCAAGCACGGGCGACATCCACCGACAGATGCCCCAAATGGAATATAATTCTTCTTTTGGCTTCTGTCTTAGCCCTACTCTGGACAGGCTTCCATGTTGATATCGAGTCACTTGATGGCCCAGTGTTCAATGGAGCTCCCACTTGTGTGCCTCACACTGCTCCAATTTGCCCTCAAGCCCCGGCATTGTCTCCCCAAGTCCACAAGAACCTTCTTGCTGATATTGAGAGCGAATATGTCACCGGTGGTTTCAAGTCGCGTGTTGTGGAATGGCTCAGAGGAGCTGTTCGAATAAAGTGAGTCAATGGCTTACGTCTGCTTGCTACGATCAGGAGCCGATACACACTTCGGTAGGACTGTGACCCACGATGATATGCGAGTCGTAGGGAATGATTCTCGATGGGACGTCTTTGGGGAGTTTCATAGCTACTTGAAGGAGGCGTTCCCTCTTGTGTACGTTTCCTGCCTGTATGGCGTCCGATGTTTTGCTTCATCTAACCGCAACACAGACACGACCGCCTCGAAGTCACCAATATTAATACTTACGGGCTTGTTTATCGTTGGGAAGGTTCTGATGCATCCTTGAAACCACTGCTTCTTATGGCGCACCAAGGTTCATTTAGTTGATTTGCCGAGCTGATTCGATCGCTCAGGAATTATTCTCCAGATGTAGTTCCAGTGCAAGCAGATACTGTCACCCAATGGGTTCGTCCACCCTTTTCTGGCTATTTCGATGGTGCGAATCGTCTCATCGAGCCCGATCTGTGGTTTACCAATGACATGCGCCTTCAGGAGAGTTTTTATGGGGGCGAGGGGCTTGGGACGACAAACAGGCACTGATTGCGATCCTGTATCCAAGTTCTTTATCTATTGTCTTCCATATTGATCATTCTTTCAGGATTACTTTGGAAACTTTACTCAAGCATGGATACAAGCCGACCCGGACAATCTTCTTTGTTTCTGGGTTCGACGAGGAAATCGGCGGGCATTTTGTACGTATTAATTCAAGAATCTGAGTGGACGATGTGACGATGTGACGTATACAGGGCGCGGGGCGTATTGCCAGCCATTTCCTCTCCACATATGGGGAAAACCATTTTGCGATGCTTGTAGATGAAGGGGGTAAGCGCTACTTGTTTGAAGTTAAGAACATCCTAATTTTCTCATGACCTCCTATAGCCCCACAAACAGCAGCGTTCGGAGCTCGAGTTGCTGCACTGGGGATCTCGGAGAAGGGTTATACCAACGTAAAAGTCTCTGTTGCTAGTCCTGGCGGCCATTCAAGCGTACCTCCTACCCATACAAGCATTGGTCTGCTGGCCTTGGCTCTCGTTCACCTGGAAGAAAATCCCGAACCAGCGCATTTAACCCGAACCTCCCCTCTATATGAACTATACCAATGCCAGGCCGAGCACTCGCCCAATTTCCCTGAGAAGTTGAAGAGAGCACTTCGAAAGAGTCTTCACAACGATAAAGCACTTAAGAGGGCTGAGAAGCTTCTTTTTACCTCAGAGGGAGGTGATGTTAACCGCATTTACTTGCACACAACGCAAGCCATCGACCTTATCGGGGGCGGAGTGAAAGTCAATGCGCTGCCAGAACTGGCGTGGGCCCTAATCAATCATCGCATTGCCACAGACAGGTAGACGCTCACTTTCGCTTCGCTGTTCCTTGGTGTCTTCTACCCACATTTTCCACCTCATCGTTTAGTTCCGTAAACGCTACTCATTCCTCAATAGTCGACAAGCTGACACCCATTGCTCGGGGGTTGCAGCTGGATTTCGAGGCGTTCGGGTTTAACGTTACTACAGAGCTTGATCCTGCTGGCCAGTTAACACTTTCACACTTTTTGGATGATGATTTGGAACCTGCTCCCGTATCTCCACCTAATTCTGCCCCATTCCAACTGCTTGCGGGTACGATACGCGAGACTTGGGAGACGGGCAGAGGCAAAGACTCTGAGGAGCCTTTCATTGTTGCTCCGAGTATAATGCCTGGTGCGTGGTGCGATTATCCTCAGATAGTGCCTGATTAGTTTAATTGGAGCACTCCGTAGCTAATACCGGTATGATTCTCCGACCTGGGTCGGTTGGAGTTCTACATCTTAAATCATTGCTAGATACAAAGTATTTCTGGAAGTTGACTCCACACATCTTCCGGTATAATCACTTAGGGATGGAGGACATGGGCCCACTTAAGAATCACGGAGGCATGCACAGTGTAAATGAAGGTATGCTCTGATGTTGCTGTTGGAGTGCAGTGTTTAACATTTAAGCGCAGCCATTCGCATTGACGGCTACCATGACCAAATCCGCTTCTTTACCCATCTGATCCTCAACGCTGACGAGGCAAATCTTTGAAAGGTATCATTGCGAATTCCATAACTTGTGTCATCATCGTCATGTTGCGTTCGGCACGACCTCGGTGACCATTACATACCTGTTACTCGGAGACTACGCATACTTGCGTATATCTTAGCGTGATGTAAATTTGAAGCCCTGGCTGTTTTTGACAAGGAGGTTCTCATGAAACCCAGCGAATGGAAGTGCTCATCAGTCCACGCTGGAGCAGATCTCAATTCTGTTCCTGAATATTTGTTTTTGGGGTGGTCACCATTCCTCGTTGAAATAATTCCGATCGTTCTTGGGGATCAACAATGGCCCTCTAATCATTTCGAGATCGCGAGATTTCATGTCCCTCCACGTCCCTAATAGTTATATCGCCTCTACCTTGAAGTGTGGAACGGCCAGTCTTTGGCGATCGTGAGTGGCCAATTAGCAAACACCGTCGATCGTACGCTGATTGTCGATCAACAACCTCTCAACGTTGTTGGAAATGCGAGTCACTGGAGATATCGATATCTGGGACATATGTGGAAGATAATGTGGAGGATGTGACTAAGCGCTCGCGTAAGTGCCTGCGCATAGAAAGCTCCGGATTGCTTGTATGTTCTTTAGTTACAGTTTCTCTTATTTTTATATTGCATCTGGACTGCGAGTGGGCCGCTGTACCGGGTTGCCATATTTGGAACGCCGGGTTTACAACAAATGTTGCAGCTGCAGATATCGTGCTCTCAGCTCACACAGTGTGACACAGGCCGCGCCAGAACGACAATGCTTCCCATAAAAGGGAACAATATTAGCATCCTCACAAAGACGTCTTCGGAATAAATACACGAAAATAAAGCAAGGCAGTCCGATCTTAGTGTACCCATCCAAGTAGTGCGTAGATCTTGCTCCTTTGGCGTATTTTTGGCCGATGGGGAAGCAAGAGTTTCTTCTTCCGGCTCGGCCCCAGGCGACATCAGCCGATAAACGCCCCAAATGGAATACAATTGTTCTTTTGGCTTCGGTCTCAGCCCTACTCTGGAAGGGCTTTCGCCATGTCGATGTCAAGTTACTTGATAGCCCAACGACTGCTCCAATTTGCCCTCAAGTCCCGGCATTGTCGCCCCAAACTCACAAGCATCTTCTTGCTGATATCGAGAGCGAGTATGTCACTGATGATTTCAAGTCGCGAGTCGTGGAATGGCTTGGAGGAGCTATCCAAATTCCGTAAGTTGACAACCTACATCCGCTCATCACCCAAAAACCAGCACACGCTTCGGTAGAACCCAGATCTACGATGACATGAAAGACGTAGGGAATGATTCTCGATGGGACAACTTTGGGAAATTCCACAGCTACTTGGAGGATGCGTTCCCTCTTGTGTGCGTTCCCACTGGCAGCCTGCATGCTTTCCGGTGTTCATATTACCCGCAAACAACAGACACGATCGACTCGAAGTTACAAAAATTAATACATACGGGCTTGTTTATCGTTGGGAAGGTTCTGATGCGTCCTTGAAGCCCCTTCTACTTATGGCGCACCAAGGTTTTTTAGTTGGACTACCGAGTTGATACAACTGCTTAGGAAATTGTTTTTCAGATGTAGTTCCAGTGCAAGAAGATACTCTCTCTCAATGGGTTAATCCACCCTTTTCTGGCTATTTCGATGGTGCGGAACCGCCTCTTTGAGCTCTAATTTATGGTTCAGCAATGACGTCCACTTGTATTTAGGAGAGTTTCTGTGGGGACGGGGGACTTGCGACGACAAACACGGACTGATTGGGATCTTGTGCTTTCATTTTTCCTTTCCATCGCCGTAAATATTGACCAACCTCTCAGGGTTACTTTGGAGACTTTACTTAAGCATGGATACAAGCCTACCCGGACAATCTTCCTTGCCTCTGGGTTCGACGAGGAAATTAGTGGACATTTTGTACGTATTAATTCAAGAGTTTGAGTGGACAATCAGGCAATAGAACATACACAGGGTGCGCGGCGTATTGCCAACCATTTTCTCTCCACATATGGGGAAAACTATTTTGCGATGCTTGTAGATGAAGGACGTAAGCAAGATGGCAACACTACTTGCTTGAATTCAAGAACGTTCTAACTTTCCCATGGTTCCTTTATAGCCACACTAACAAAAGCGTTTGGAGCTCGAGTTGCTGCACTGGGAGTCTCGGAGAAGGGTTATGCCAACGTACAAGTCTCTGTTGCCAGCCCTGGCGGCCATTCAAGCGTACCTCCTACCCACACGAGCATTGGTCTATTGGCTTTAGTTCTAGTTCACTTGGAAGAAAATCCCGAACCAGCGCATTTAACCCGAACCTCCCCTCTATATAAACTATATCAATGCCAAGCCGAGCACTCACCCAATTTCCCTGAAAAGTTGAAGAAAGCCCTTCGAAAAAGTCTGCACAGCGATAAAGCGCTAAAGACGGCCGAGAAGCTTCTTTTTGCCTCAGAGGGAGGTGATGTTAACCGCATTTACTTGAGCACAACGCAAGCCATCGACCTCGTCGGGGGTGGAGTGAAAGTCAATGCGTTGCCAGAACTGGCGTGGGGCGTAATCAATCATCGCATTACCACAGACAGGTAAACGCTCACGTCGCTTCGCGGCTATGTTTTGATGTCTTCTACCCACTTTTTCTGCCTCATCGTTTAGCTCCTTGAACGCTACTCATTCCTCAATAATCGACAAGCTGATACCCATTGCTCGCGAGTTGCAGCTGGATTTCGAGGCATTCGGATCTAGCGTTAGTACAGAGCTTGATCCTGCTGGTCAATTAACCCTTTCGCACTTTGGGGATGATGATTTGGAACCAGCTCCAGTATCTCCGACTGATTCTTCCCCATACCAACTACTTGCTGGTACGATACGCGGGATTTGGGAGACGGGCAGAGGAAAGTACTCTGAAGAGCCCTTCATTGTTGCCTCGGGTATAATGCCTGGTGCGTGGTGCGATCATCTTCAGATAATGTCTGATTAGTCCAATTGGTACCGCCCATAGCTAGTACCGGTATGATCCCTCCAAGCTGGGTCTGTCCGAGTTCTCGCATCTTAAATCATTGGCAGACACAAAGCATTTCCGGAAGTTGACTCCACACGTCTTCCGGTACAATCACCTTGGGACAGAGGACATGCGCCCACTTAAGAGTCAGCCACAAAATGGAGGCAAACATAGTGTAAATGAAGGTATGAAGTGATGCTGCTGTTAGAGTGTAGTGTTAACGTTCAAGCGCAGCCATTCGTATCGACGGCTATCGTGATCAAATCCGCTTCTTTACCCATCTGATCCTCAATGCCGACGAGGCAAATCTTTCATTGCGAATTTCATAATTTGTGTGATCATTGCGGCGGTGCGTTTGCCCCCGCAACTTCGAACGCGATGCTCATTACATGTCTGCTGTTCGGAGAACTTTGAGTCCTGGAGGACATGTCCATTTGCATGTATCTTAGCGTGATGTAAATTCGAAGCTGGCAGTCTACTGTACGCACATGTGCATACCATACTATTGTCAAGGGAGTTCCGAGTTTGGCTGTCATGTGGTGGCAGTGATTCGGGGTGATTCCGGCGACGACTGCGGATGCTTACGGATGGCTACCCGTCAGAATTCCCTACTACGAGTTACAACCACTGGTTGCTCCAACCCTTTAAATAGAATCCACTCTGTTTTCAATTATCAGTCCCAGAGCATGTGTTGGACTTAAACTTGCGATTACTGAGTACGTCGCATCCACAACAACTCTGTGTCTACGATTGCAAACGCTCTTGCATCAGGATAGTCTTATTCAGCCTGATACGAGTGATGTCCTTTGAGCTCGCAGTTGACCCAGATGACGTCGAGGTAAAAGCGAAGTGAAAGTGAATGATAGATTCCCGATTGACTCTACTCTCAGCATTGTGAGCCGGTCTTAGGTGAAATCCAGACCAGAAGAGGGATTTCAGTTGCCTGTCCTTGTTCGGGCCTTGTAATTGCAATCGCGTGTCAACCAGGTGAGTGTCATTTCATGTCCAGAAATCCCGGAGTCCCTATTTTGATGCGCTTTTGACCTAGTTCAGATCCAGTTTAGTCAACCGCGAACCCCCCTCTATTGTTCATATACAACAATGTAGCCGAATGACCATGCTACGCAGGTTGGTGTTTGACTCTAGCATGCACATATCTCTGGTACAATTTAGAATCGAATAAAGAATCCTTGTTGCTGGTGTATGACCTTTGAGGAACATGCTGGGGGATGCATTTAGGATTAGTCCGCATGGCTCAGAATAGCACCTCGAAAGGCTTCAGTCAATTGCTTAGCTTGTGGTCGATCCAATGGCTCCACATTCCAGCATTGTTTTAAAATGTGAAGCGGAAGGAGCGACTTACACCCTTCTAGCTGTTCAGGAGCAATAGGCGGCGTGCCGCTCACAATCGCAGCTAAGAGGGCCTTATCGCTGCGGATGGTTTCATACGGTCTTTTGTCTAGTAAGATCTGGGCATGTCACAAACTCATAAACTTTAGCAACCAATGAGCTCTCGGGCCTCTGACCTCAATGCAAGTGCACCCATAAGCGTAAATGTCAGCTTCCATTGTCTTGTCCTCACGATCCAGTAATTCAGGAGCTGAGAAGCGAAGGCTCATTCCAACAGTCGTGAATGTGAACCCTGTGGGATTATTGTCCAAGATCCTCGAGAGGCCAAAATCACAGATACAGGCACGTCCGTCCGAGGCGATCAGAATATTTTGCTGAATAACCTCAATCTCAGAATCCCAGCCAGCCTGTAAGCAAGGAAAACACTCACCCCCTTGATATCACCATGTACAATTGGGGGAAGTTGTGAATGGAGATATTCCAATCCTGAAGCTACGTCAGCGCACTTGGGAATGTCCGTCAATTCCTCAATCTTCCAAGAAATAGACAGATGACGCGCACAATCATGTTTCTGTTAGCACTGGGATGGTATTTAAGGAAGCTGATTGCGTCCCTCTCTGAATACCAGGGAGAGACGAAACCAGGGCCATGGATACCATTCACGTAGCCCAGAAGTGGAACCAAGTTGGCATGGCTCAGACGCAACCATACGCGTATCTCTCTTTTCAGGCGCTGGAGTACGACATCAATGTGACTGCATCATCCCGACACGGGCAGGCGCACTTTCCATTGTTTCTCCTCAGGATTCGAATCCTGTGAATACGATAAGTGGAGCACTTTCACAGCAACTTCCTGGAAGCACTCAATATCAACTTCAAACTGGGACGCAACAAATGCTGACTTGGGTGGGAGTGCCCAGTGGGTCGGGCACCCATGTGCCTTTGTACACGAGCGAGTATCCTCCTCTGTCAACTTGGCGCATCGAGGAGATTTGTTGGGTGAGATCAAGGCAATCAAATGCACCCAACACCTCTACCTCCTCAACGTCACCTGCACGAGTAACACAACTCTCAGTTGGGCGTTTGACAGGGGTTGAGGGCGAAATCACTAGAGGGGCGGCAACTAGGCCCCCCTTGTCACCACTTAGAACAGGGCTATGCCTACCCCCCTTGACTGACTTCTCTTGAGTCGGGGGACCGGATGCTCGTGTGGCGCCCGTAGATTCGGCAAGCAGGTGATTGGCGGGTGACGCACGGGCGTCAGACGGGAGGGTCGGAGCGGGGAGGACGGAGAGTGAGTGGCGCAGCTCAGCTACTGATTGGCCAGGAGTGACCATGCTGGCTGATGTAGAGGTCGACCCCAATCTGAGAGTTCGAGCGATCAGCAGTTTTACTCTGGCGTAATAAGCAGAAAGGAACTCGCCGGTCTTTGATCTGCTTAGCCATGGTCAAGAAAACCTGTTCCACATTAGTTGAACTCTTTGCCGAAGTTTCAAAGAAGGGAATAGCCAACTGGTCGGAAAATTCCTGGAGAAATTGCACACAAAGGGAGGCATCAGTGATACCCCAGTAGAAGATACGCAGGTACCTTGGCAACGGTGTATTCCACAACCTTCTTGCTCGTCAAATCTGACCTAGTTCCAACCAAGAGTTTGTTCACCCCTTCAGACGCATATGACTGGATCTCCTGTAGCCACCGCTTGACGTTTGTGAATGACTCTATACAATTACAGTGCCGCTAAGAATCAGTATGACAAGTGAGAGGGAGGGATGGATGCCTCATACTATCGTCCGTCACATCATACACGGCAATAATCCCATCTGCACTGCGGCAAATCGAGTAAGCCACTGGTCGGAAGCGCTCTTGGGCTGTGCACGATCGTTTCGAGATGATTATTATCGCTGCAACTAATTCCATAATAACCGACCTGCTATGTCCCACTGGAGAAAGAAGTTCAGGTTAGTCCCATATCACTTGAGGGTACGCCACCAACACCATTTGCTGTTTACAGAAGATGAACTCACAATCTGCAGCTTGACGGTCTTCCCTTCCAGTTTTATGGTACGAATCTTAAAATTGGCACCAATGGTACCGACGAAACTCTCGGCATAAGTTCCATCCACAAAGCGGAGCAGTAGACTTGTCTTCCCAACGGCCGCGTCGCCAATCAACACGACCTTGAACAGATGGTCGCATTCGTTGTCACCATTCGGAACAGGGCTATTTTGCCTAACTGGCATCTCTTGAGTAGGAGAAAAAAAGAAGGAGCGGAGGGAGTGGCGCAGCCCAGCCACTAATTGGCCAGGTGTGGTCCCGCTGGCTTTTGAGCTATCGCCAGCTGATGTGGGGGTCCGCCCTAATCTGGGAGTTTGAACGATCAGCACCTTTACTCTGGTGTAATAAGTAGAAAGGGACTCACCAGTCTTTAATCTGCTTAGCCATGGTCAAGAAAACCTGTTCCACATTAGTGCCATTTTTTGCCGAAGTTTCGAGGAAGGGAATAGCCAATTGATCGGCGAATCCCTGGAGGAATTGCACATAAAGGGAGGTATCAGGATGCCTGGGTAGAGGATACGCAAGTACCTTGGCGACGGTGTATTCCACAACCTTCTTGCTCGTCAAATCTGACCTAGTTCCAACCAAGACCTTGTTCACTCCTTCAGACACATACCGGTCAAGTTCCTGAAGCCACCGCCTGAGGTTTTTGAATGAGTCTGTGCAGTTATGGTGCCCACAAGAATCAGTATAACAAGTGAGGGAGGGATGGACGCCACATACCATTGCACGTCACATTGTACACGAGAATGATCCCATGTGCACCGCGGCAAAATAAGGGATACATTGGTCGGTCGCGCTCTCGAGCTATGTACAATCGTTTCAAAACGATTATCATCGCTGCAACCTAATTTCATAAAAACGGACCTGATGTGTCCCACTGGAGAAAGACGTTCAGGTTAGTTCCACATCAGGCAACAGCACTTGCTGGACAAACCCACAATTTGCAGCTTGACAGTTTTCCCTTCCAGTTTTAGGATGCGAGTCTTAAAGTCGGCACCAATGGTAGCACGGGAATACTCGGTGTAGGTGGCATCTACAAAGCGGAGCAGTAGACAAGACTTCCCGACGGCCACATCGCCAATCAACACGACCTTAAACACGTAGTCGCATTCAGGAGTGTTCATTGTGGTATGCCCTGAGTGATTAGTTAGTGGTACCGAAAGCTCAAGTAGATTTGAAGAGATCTTCAAGATCGGCGCCAACGGCGTTTACTGTAATGCCTCGCAAAGCCGAAGTTTTTCGCGTAAGTAGCCCGAAACGTGACCTTGTCTTGTGCTCATTCCTGTTCTAGGCAGGACCCAGCCTCTGTTTAATATTCTTATTTCACACGACTAATCACGATGATATCTAGCGCTGAATGGTGCCGCATGGTCCTGCGTTTTTGCAGCGTTGATGGGACCTTGCGGGTGTTCACTAGTCCTCGCGTTTAAGTATTTGTCTTCACGTGATTTTTCACGTGTGTTGTCCCGTTGGCCGAATATATTTCTCTATTTCTCTATTTCTCCCCGCTCCCTCAGCGCTGCCTTCGCGTTTGCTCCATCGGGACTGGTAAGTCCTTACTTGGTCGACGACATCCTTACCAACCTCAACCAACCCCCTATACTCTGGCATGGACAGGGTCAAACATTAAATTACGCCCTCCGGGGAACTGCAACAGTTATGTTTTTGATCGATATAACCCACATTCGATCCCTATACCCATAAATTCACTACCCATGCGGCAAAGTTGCTGGAGGCTTGGGCGTTGGGTTTCAGGGAAACCCCTAACAAAAGCAGCCCAGTGGCCTCCCACGCCAGTGTAGAGATCTAAAGTTCTCCGAGTAACAGATATGTAATTACCATTGCGTATCTGAGGTTGTGCCAAATGCGGGGTGACAAGGTTGACACAAGTTATGAAATTTGCAATGATGCCTTCAAAGATCTGCCTCATCGGCATTCAGGGTAAAGAAGCGAATTTCGTCAAGGTGCGAATGGCAGTCCTACGAATGGCAGTGGCACGGCATACACTAGTTTTACAACTTGCTGATTGCGAGGGACTCTCAGGGGGAATGAATTTCGGAACCAGGCCAAAGCAGAACGGGACTCTATCTACATAATATACTATCTAATCAGACGG